CAAAGTGTCAAATTGTTTTGCTTCATCAACTTTTGTTTTTGCTGTAGTAGTTTTTTTTTCATTAAACAAATGTAGCTGATATTAGTACATGTGTTCATTAAACTGAAATAAATGGATTTGGAAAAAAATGGAAAATAATTAACTGTTATTTTTCAAAGTGAAAGGTAATATTTTCCTTTCTAAAGTCCCTGTCACACCTTGACCATTTAGATGAGCATATGCCTGAAAAATCTGTCAAAAACGCTGGGATACGTTGGATAAGTTATGGGTCAGTTTTGTATAAGTTATGAGCGCGCTGAAACACGCTGGCACACGTCGACATACTTCAAGTACGTTGAGAAATTTTGAGTGTGCATAAAATTTCCCAACGTATGCCAGCGTATGCTCATACGTGGGGCATAAGTTGCAGGTAAGTTATTTGATCATCGACATACGTTAAGTGTAAGTTACTCATAAGTCATGGTGTCCAGCTTATCCAAAACCTATGAGAAACGTGTGCATAACTTACTTTCTACCTTTCTTTATTATTCTTTTTTTATTTGGCAGGTGGTAAACAGCTAGGTTAATACAGCAATAAAAAAATCTTTTTAAGCAGGCCAGGCGCATCGCTGCCCCTTTCAGGACACTGGTTGTAACATTTCATGGGCATTACTCTACCGTGCGTTATGCATAAGTTAGGCTGTCGATGGACATAAATTCTTGACTCATAAATTGAAAAAACAGAAAATTCAGCGTATGCCAGCGTTTTAGGAGATTCTGGGTCAGGCATACTCTGGATAAATCATAAAGGTGTGACAGGGGCTTAAGATGATAAACATTCAGAGTTTAAGTCAGATTAGTTATAGAAGAATGTGATTGTTATTGAAGAGTAAAAAAGAAGCACTAGCTTAACTTAAAAATCAGTGAAGCTCTAATATTTGGGATAATTATCGGAGCATGGGATCGTCAGCGATTGTTCCAACAGATGGTCTTGAAAATCCTTCATCTACATAAAGTGATGTTTGTCCTACAGACGATTTTAATAATCACTCAGTTGCACAAAAATAGATGCTGTGTTCATCATCAGAGGAGCAGGAAGTCAGGAGGGTTTACATGTGCTCAGAAATGTATATATTTTCCCAGATATATCGGATCTGATCCGCTGCCAAGAACCAGGACAGTATTTTAGTGTCAGACTCAAGATTATTAATGATTTGAGCCATAGCTGGTGCTGTTAGCTTGACCCTCAGACTGTGAATACTACTAGGTCAGCAGACATGGAGGAACCAGTGGTTAAAATGATCCATGTTCTGATCCAAAGCAGATTCTGAACCGGTCTCTATTTTCTCTCTACAGTCCTTTTGTCCATTTGTTCTCTGTTATGTGACCCAAATCCTGACGACCCATTAGTGCCAGAGATCGCCCGCATCTACAAAACAGATCCCGTCAGGTGAGTTTGACACACACAGAAATGGAACCAGGATGATGAACTGGACTCTAGCTGGTTCTGGGAGAAAAGCTGAACTGTTGGAGGTGAAAACGTGGCACAGACTTTGGATCTGTAAAGGCTGGAGTGTGACAGGAGTCTAGATAATGAACAGAAGATGGAAGATTCTGATCTGTAGCTGTTAGCTCAATGCTAACAGCTGCTCTCTGTTACTGTGGCTGAAAATAAGTGTTATAGTTTTCAAATGAAGACTAGTCACTTCTGAAAAACAGGATAAGAAAGCAGAAACATGATCAGCATTACGAGGTTGGAATAAAAAAAGATCTGTTTGAAGTACAAAACCAGCTAGTAGAACTTTAATAGTTCTGCTCTGAATCTGTTCCCCCCTCTGCTAGAGTCAGAGGACGTCTGAATTTAGCCTGTAGTGGACAATGAGGAGAGTTCTGTTCTGTTCTGCTTGGAGCACCTGCAGTTTGAACCTGGATTTTGATGCTTCGCCGTGTCATTTTTCTCTCCTGCAGGTACAACAAGACAGCTCAGGACTGGACCCAGAAATACGCCATGTGAACTGCGTGAGCTGCACCTTGCCCCGCCCCCTTTCCCTGCAATCTGTTGGCATTTTCATTCATCTCATTCTGAACTGTGATGCTGTTAAAGCCCGTCTGTCTGTCTGTCTGCTGGAGACCGGAGCCCGCTGGTTACCATGGCGTCAGAGCCGAACTGGACCCACTCGCTCCTTCATGCATGTCAGTGATTGGTCCATGTGCTGCTCTGAACTGTGTCCACGTTTTAAAGGAGAAAAGCTGTTTAAGTTTGTAGTTTGTTTTGCGATTTTAGACGAGAGCCGTTAGTTCATCCATCATCCGACTCCGTTCTCCTGTTTTTGCACTGGAAAAGATCCGACCTGCGGCGGCGGACCGGTCAACTAAGCGCTCTGTGATGGTTTTTCTCAATAAAGATGAACAAATGGAAGCTGGTCTTGGTTTCATTTAGTCGGAGAACGATCTATCCTCAGGTCTGTTCAGGTTCTGAACCAGAACAGAATGGTTTAATACAAACTCTTACTCTGTTAGAGTAAGGGCTAAAAAATAAACATGAGTCTCAAAATATAAAAATGACTTTATTAAAAAAAAAACAACCAGTTAAAGATGAACTGTACAGAGCAGGAAGGACATAAATATGTGAAACATGGTTGCCTAACAGCGCCTGGACTACAGGTGCTGGTCATAAAATTAGAATATCATGAAAAAGTAGATTGATTTCAGTAATTCCATTTAAAAAGTGAAACTTGTATATTATATTCATACATTACATACAAACTCATATATTTCAGATGTTTATTTTGTTTAATTTTGATGATTACAAATGACAACAAATGAAAATCTCAAATTCATCATATCAGAAAATTAGAATATTACTGAAGACCAATAAAAACAAAGGATTTATAGAAATGTTGGCCAACTGAAAAGTATGAACATGAAAAGTATGAGCATGTACAGCACTCAGTATTTAGTTGGGCCTCCTTTGGCCTGTATTACTGCAGCAATGCGGCGTGGCATGGAGTCGATCAGTCTGTGGCACTGCTCAGGTGTTATGATAGCCCAGGTTGCTCTAATAGTGGCTTTTAGCTCTTCTGAATTGTTGGGTCTGGTGTATTGCATCTTCTTCTTCACAATACCCCATAGATTTTCTATGGGGTTAAGGTCAGGAGAGTTTGCTGGCCAATTAAGAACAGGGATACCATGGTCCTTCAACCAGGTACTGGTAGCTTTGGCACTGTGTGCAGGTGCCAAGTCCTGTTGGAAAATGAAATCTGCATCTCCAAAAAGTTGGTCAGCTGCAGGAAGCATGAAGTGCTCTAAAACTTCCTGGTATGTGGCTGCGTTGACCCTGGACCTCAGAAAACACAATGGACCAACACCAGCAGATGACATGGCACCCCAAACCATCACTGACTGTGGAAACTTTACACTGGACTTCAAGCAACGTGGATGAAGTGCCTCTCTTCTTTTCCTCCAGACTCTGGGACCTTGATTTCCAAAGGAAATGCAAAATTTACTTTCATCAGAGAACATGACTTTGGACCACTCACCAGCAGTCCAGTCCTGTTTCTCTTTAGCCCAGGCAAGACGCTTCTGACGCTGTCTGTGGTTCAAGAGTGGCTTGACACAAGGAATGCGACAGCAGAAACCCATGTCTTTCATATGTCTGTGTGTGGTGGTTCTTGAAGCACTCACTCCAGCTGCAGTCCACTCTTTGTGAATCTCCCCCACATTTTTGAATGGGTTTTGTTTCACAATCCTCTCCAGGGTGCGGTTATCTCTCTTGCTTGTACACTTTTTTCGACCACATCTTTTCCTTCCCTTCGCCTCTCTATTAATGTGCTTAGACACTGAGCTCTGTGAACAGCCAGCCTCTTTAGCGATGACCTTTTGTGTCTTGCCCTCCTTGTGCAAGGTGTCGATGGTCGTCTTTTGGACAACTGTCAAGTCAGCAGTCTTCCCCATGATTGTGTAGCCTATAGAACTAGACTGAAAGACCATTTAAAGGCTTTTGCAGGTGGTTTGAGTTAATTAGCTGATTAGAGTGTGGCACCAGGGGCCATCAATTTTGAACCTTTTCACAATATTCTAATTTTCTGATATGATGAATTTGAGATTTTCATTTGTTGTCATTTGTAATCATCAAAATTAAACCAAAATAAACATCTGAAATATATGAGTTTGTATGTAATGTATGAATATAATATACAAGTTTCACTTTTTAAATGGAATTACTGAAATCAATCTACTTTTTCATGATATTCTAATTTTATGACCAGCACCTGTACAGTTCCCATAATCCTCTGTGGCTTTCTTTGTATTGGAAGGCACCAATCTTCTCATCAAGCTCATAAATTTCAGTTCATGAGAGAAATTTAAACCTGCAGAGAGCAGAAGGTTCAGGTACTGGTGGAAAAGGAGGGAGGCTGCTGGGTACCAATCCTGTAAACATCTGGAATTACAGCAACACAGCGGAGATCATTCAGCTCGTTACAGCAGAACATTCTGGGGTCACGAACCAAGGCCCTTTAACAACTGCTTCCACGTCCAACATAAATGTTTGAATTGTCCTGTGATGGACCGGTAACCAGTCCAGCCTTTAGTCCACCTAATGCCTGGTGCTGGTTCTGGCCCGGTTCGGCTAAGATCCACTCTTGCCGGGTTCATCAGCGGCTGCTTGAAAAACTGAGTCCAAAATGTTCTGCTGACAACTATGGCCTAATCTGAATGAATCGACTTCCCTGGAGGCTGAGTCCAAATGTTTTCCACAGGTTCTGCTGCTTCCTGCTGATCACATGGTTCTGACCCAATCATCTGCCGTGAACCATTAGCAGTTAAAGTTCTGATATTTGGGTCTGAGTAGGTCCTGAACAGGTTGTGATTTTTCTCCTACTGATATTTTGTTCATCCAGAGCAGAACCACTCCCGGGACCACAGATGTCCAATATTCAGACCTGTTTGTATCGGATCAGAACCTCTAGCACCATTATGCCTCAGCTTCATCAGGACCTAGTGCATCTTGCTCTTCATGTTTGAGCTTCAGGGAGCTGTTTAGAAACTGGAAGTGAAGCTGCAGCACCGGTTCTCTTCCTGTCAGTAAAAATCAGAGGTTGGTCGTCCAATCGGATCAACAGTTCTGCTCAAATATTAAGAAACTTTAAGCCTTGATGAGTCATGATGAGGAGGTGAAATCTGGACCAATCACACGGCTACGCTGTGGAGAGCTCCACCCCGCTGTCACACACCCCGCTGTCAATCTGAGCTTCCAGCTTCAGGTTCTGAACCTGAGGGCACAGAGCTTCAGCTGCCGGATCATCGCTCTGCTCCTGGTTCTGACAAAGCGCCTCCTCCAGGATGCGGAGTGCCCTGCACTCCCCCGCTGACCTGAGAGCAGCCAGCAGATCAGAGATGGTTCCCCCTGAAACCTGTGGAATAAACAGAAGAGATCAGAACCAGCTGATTGAAACAGACTGGGTTAACAGCTGAGGTCACCTAAAACTCAGCCCAAAACTAACAGGTTGATTTAAATCCAGAAATGAAGAATCCTGTCCTGCCAATCAAATACCTGGTTCTGGTAACAGTGAGTGTTGTCACATTTACTTTATTAGGCCAATCAGAAAAAGGGACCAAACCATGTGACAAAGAAACTGGCAGAACCCAATTCTAATAAGGAAAATAACTTTTTCCCACTTTCCTACTAATTTTCTAAGGAGGTGAAGAAAAGGGAGTTTGTGTTACACCAGGCCATCCTCTCTGCTGCCTTTCCTTTCCCATCATAAAAAAAAAAAAGGCTCAAAGAAGATAATTCAAAGGTCATGACCTCCACCCAGAAGCTGCTTGTTTGTCTGTTAGCAGGACAGTTTTGTCAGAGGTGCTCCTCATGACAAGGAACAATCCATCAAATTTGGTTTTTTGATTAAAATGTGTGATCCCGATGGTTATCTGGATACAGGTGATTTTTAAAGGATTCTTTAACATTATATGGCAGTGCAAACAGTTTCCCCCTAAACCAGAGGGTGGCAGCAGTGACCATTCACAGCTTCAGCATCAGACTCCAAAAAGTCCAGAAATATCAGACTTAAAATACACAAACACAAGAAAAGTGAACCAGTTATTTGTTTATGCTGCAATGAGAGTGAATGACGGGGGATCCCCCAGCTCTTTTTTCAGGTCTTTGCAGAAACTGCTGTCATGTTCAGGTAGGAACGTGAGCCGCAGCCAGAACCCATAAACCACCTCTGGAAGACTTCAGGGAGCCTGGAGAACCTAGGAAGAGCCCTTTAAAAGTCCTCCTCACCACTTTGGACAGGACCGAACATGGAGACGAGGACTCAATGTGCTGGCTTATAACCATGGTAACTGGTCTGCGTTACCTCGTAGCTGTCCAGCAGGGTTTTGGCCGGAAAAGGACTCATCCTGAAGGCGGTATTCAGGATGCCGAGGCCAAGGCTGTGAGCCAGGTTCTCCCAGCATCCTTCAGTTTCCAGGGCTCCGCAGACGGCACGCTTCACCTCCACGTCCAGGCTGGACAGATCACCCTGGGGAGCGACAAAGGCTCGCTGGCTCTTTGATTCGTACTCTTTACCGTTGAGAAGGTCCAGCACCTGATCACACACACACACAGTCAGGATTCTGGTTCAGTTCTGATTTCACACACGTGTTGGTGTAGATGTACCTCAGACGAGGTGGCCATGTTGACTGGAGTTGTTCCGGGTACGTAGCCTTCATCATCGTCATCCTCCCTGTCTTCTTCACATTCCTCCTCCTCCTCGGAGAAGAAGAGTGGCTCAAAGTTCTCCCTCTGAGGGTCAGCACCTAAAACAAAAGGCAGGAAACGTAAGAGAAACTAGAAAGATATCCAGACAACTTCAATCTGACCTTCACTGAAGCATAATTTCTGAAGTTTAAAACAAACCATGAAGAAACAGGTAAACAGAGATCAAAGTAAAGCATGGTGGTGACAGCATCATGCTGTGGGAAAATCTATGGGGAGACTTAAGTGAAAGTTAATCTTCCAGCAGGAGAACTATCCTGAAAATCATGCTAGAGATATAAAGGACGGGTTAGACCCAAGCAGAATAATGGGTTTGAATGGCCTAGTCAAAGTCCAGACCTTAATCTGAGAATCTGTGGCACGATCAGAAAACTGGTGTTCTCAGATGTTCTCCATCAAACCTAAGGAGTTTGAAATGAATAGAATAAATAAACAAAGTCTGTATATGTTCAAAAACTCCAGAACACCTGGACCTGCAGCCAGAGGAGGTTCTAAAGAGTTCTGCGACAGGTCGGCTGACCACAGAAGCACGCCTCACTTTTTATATCTTCATTTCTAAAAAACATTTTTGCTGTTTCTTTTACTACTGACATCTTATTGCATATGCCTCATTTCTGACCCAGTCTGTGTTGGTCTGACTAAGAAAATAGGAATAACAGATGATCATGTTAACACACAGGAAGCCGCCCACCATCGGGGGGAGGAATAGTCCCGGTTCTTCATGTGCTTTACTCTTAGCTGGACCAACGTTCAGGTCTGAAAAATAAGCATGAACACCTGATTCTGGCGACCCCTACCTGCAGCCATGAGGAGAGCTGTCAGCTTGACGGAGCCGCGCCCTGCAGCAATGTGGAGAGGGGTGGAGCCGTTGAAGGTACAGCAGTCCACCTTGGCGTTTCCCTGGCAACAGAAGAACAAAAATGTCAGCCTTAGTAGCAATTGACAGAGATGGCTGCAGGTGTCCATCCCCTCTCTGACTGATCGCTGCTTACCTCCAGCAGCAGGCATCCGGCCAGCGACACGTTGTCAGTCTCTGTGGCGAGGTGGAGGGCGGTCCGCCCATAGCTACACTCCTGGGCGTTGACGTTGGCTCCGCCTACTAGCAGCTCTCTGAGAGCCTGCAGCCGATTTGCCAGAACTGCCAGGTGTATGGCACACAGACCTGTGAAGGTGGAGGCAGAGAGCGTGAGCTGCAGGATGTTTGTGTGTGCTCCTGTTTTCATCAGGGTAAGGACAGTTTATCCAATTTTACCATCAAAGCTAGGACATTTTGCTGGTTCTTTTTTTCTAACGTTTACGATTAAGATAAAGAAGTTACCTGAGGTAAGCTTAATGTTTGGTATGCACTGGTAATGTTAGGTTTATTGTAAGGGTTAGGGCAAACAAAGGGTTGATAATGACTAGAATGAGTGGGAGTTACCACATGGTCCTCACTACATATAGCAAGACGATTATATGTGTTTGTGTCATAACCTGCTGTGTTGCTGGACTCCATCAGCTTTCTTAGCTCTTTGTGTTGCATCAAAAGCTCCACCATCCCACATCCTTCCTGCTGCGCTGCCAGGTGAAGAACTGTGTTGCCATGACGATCCGTCAAAGTCGGGTCAGCGCCAGCCAGCAGCAGCGCTTCTGCCGCCTTCTTCTGCTGGGTGATAACTGCCAGGTGCAGAGGAGTCTGGTAAAGGTAACAGACCATTAGAGTGGATCCAGGTTACAGGTACCTCTGATTCCTGGAGAACCCCATTACCTGGTGCAGGTGGTTCCTCATGTTGAGCACCTCCTCTCCAGTGAGAGCAGACACTACCTGCGTCAGGCTCATCAGCGCCTCCTGCTGGCTGTGGAGAACTGCTAGATGCAGCCCCCTGTCAAGAGAGCAGAGCATTATTGAGCAACAGTCACGGTCACACGTCTGTCTGTATGTGTCTGTACTGACGTGTCGCCATCCTCATCCTGTGCCGTCATCAGGGGGCGCTGTGGAGCCAGCAGGTATGCTGAATCGCCTGTGACAGAGTATCGGAAGAGAGCGTCGAGCTGCCTGTGGGTCGCCTCCATCAGTAGATCTTCTGCAGCAAAGATGTTGAAATGTTACCAGAAACAGAAGTGATGAAATCTCTCATCATGGTGTCGTCTGCATGTAAGAAACAAACCTGCTCCAGGCTTCAAGCTGACCGCTCCATCCTTACTCCTATCCCCGTCCTCGGGGCCCTCTGACTGGACAGGGCCGAGCAGCACAGCCCCGGCTGTCGGGTCATCGTCTGGGTCGCTGTCGTCATCGCTGTCGTCCACACCGCCACCCTGCAAAGCTTTAAAACAAAAACCAGTCTGAGCCAGTTACCCCTGAACTGCTTTGTGTCGCCATGCAGCTGATGAACACTGATGAACCATAAGAACACACTCAGGATCTCAGGGTTCCGTCTTTTAGATTTTTTTATATTTCTATATATATATATAAAAAAAACTTATTTCATAAACAAAAAAAAAAAAATTTAACTGAGCTGTAGTGACATTAAAATAACAGTTAAAATCTAGACTCCAGTCATCTGCTTTGTGATTAAAGCTCTAGTCTTTCCAGGTTCTGTGCTCCATCCATTAGCTAGGAATAGCAGAACCAAAGCCATGAGTTAAAACCAGCTCATCCTAAGAGGGTTCCTGAACTTCGGTAACCGTCAGGACCTGCTGACCAGATCGTTGAGCATCCAGGTGTTTGTTCACTCAACGCCAGGATGGAACAGCATCAGCAATGATCTTAGAGCAGAAACTGCTGCCCCCCAGGCTACCTGGGAAAGGTCAGAGGTCATTTCCAATCCATGTGAAGTCAATCATTTAGCAGAGAGACGATTATTCCTGAGAGAACGTGTCGCACAGCTGCACATCTTCCAGTAGTGGACGTCTCAGCAGATTCAGTCAGAGATCAGAGCGTGAAGCTCAGAGAAATGATTCGAAATCCACGAGCCTCACCTGAGACTCCATAGGTCTCAGTTAGCAGGTTAAAGTTTAAAGGTCATGTTCCTGAACCTGACTGTCTTTCTGGACATGTTGAGGGAGAACTCCTTCTTTTTCTACATATTGACCTGGGTTAGTTAAGCTGCATCTGGTTAAAGAACAAGATTTATGGGACAGGTGAGATCGTAATAGAGATGTTTGACCATAATGGACACTGGGTTCCTGGGTCTCACAGCTCAGTGAATAATGAGTGTTGAACATGTTTGGTTCTGTTGTTTGTTTTTTCAGGATGGATTTAAATATCTTAGAACCTGGGAACCCAGATCAGCTTTATTATTTCTAGATCCATGAAACACTGGAGTTGTAGATAAACAGCTTGAATCCTTAAATATGGACAACCAATATATCTTCAGTGTTTCTCACTGTGCTTCATGCCGCCTCCTCCTCCAAGTCCAGTTGAGTAAGCTGTGGAGAATCCTCCACCTCCTCCCCCTCCTCCATAGTTGTAGGAGGTGTAACCCTGATAGTATCCTGCAGAAGACAACAAACACTTTCTAAACTAAAATCCCAAATGAACATATTCCAACATGTTTTATGTTAAATACTTAGACTTCACCTCCTCCTCCTGCCGAGCCTGGTCCTCCTCCTGTCGCAGGACCTCCTCGGTACAGTCCTCCTCCTCCTCCATGTCCACTGAAGTCCTGAAAGTTGGGCAACGTCTTCTGTCTCTTCCTCTGCACCTCCTCTTTATCTGAAAACACAAAATTAGTCTTTTACTACCTGAACCGGATCCAGAGGGCCTCCTAGAACAGAACTAGAACAAATCTAATCAGGTTTGGGTGCAGAGTCAGGTGACAAACCTATAATCTGAGGATGGTAGGTGAAGGGTTTGGGCTCGCTGGTCTCGTTATCAGACTTCCTCTTTAACTGGACAAACACAGATGTCGGCTTCTGCAGGTTCTGGTCTCGATACTTTGGGGTCTTGAAGACGATCGCAAACTGTCGTCATGGCAACATTATGGCAAAAAAAAAAGAAAAAAATATCAAAGTGATATGAAGTTAAAAAAGAACTCAAAGTACCATCGTAACCTAAGGTCAAATTTTCTTCACAAAGCATTGTGGGAAATGCTGAAGCGTTGTTCGGGTCTAATCGAATCTAAAAGCTAAGCGGCTGCAGAACCACAGATGTTCAGTGAGACGGGCAGCAGGTGAGGCTGATGTCATCTGCTGACCCTCTGATCCTGCAGCAGCTTTACAGCCCCAGGTTCACGCCAGAGCAGGAAGCACAGCCCTGGAACGGTTCCTGCCGTTTGGACTTTGCCTGTTGTTGAGATAGCCGCCGCTGTTAGTGATAACACTGACCTGTCTGTGGACATCAGTGGGGGAGAAATCTCCCAGAGCCTCCCAGATCAGCCCCGACTCATCTTCCTCATAGAACCGTACCTGGATATCATCTACAAACACACACACACACACCATGAATGATCTGAGTCCTGAACATTAATAAGAGCCGAACTAAAGCAAAGTTTGAAGCAGGAAAAAGGGCCTCATAGAGCTGGAGCCTCTTCCCTATCTGGGATTTGCATATAAGAGGGGAAAACCCCAGAAGTTGGACTTCCTCCAACACAACAAACCTGTAAAAACCAACCAGGAAAAGCCTCCAGCTGCTCTCTCCTCAATAACTGCCTGCAGGTTTGTACTTCAGGGCATTTATTCCTAAATAAATGTTAATCCACTGATCAGAACCACCATGCTCACCTTTTTGGACTTTGTCACAGAGCAGGTAGACCTCCTCTCCTCCTGTCACACAGCCAGCGGTCCGGTCCATCCTTACAATCTTCAGGTTTGAGGCGTTGGGAGCCTCTGAGGAAAGAAGGACACTCTTTAAATACATATTGAATGAAAAAAATATATATTTTTTTCCCCTTTTTAATTACATTAGGGCTGAAAAAATTATTCGGATTAATGGTTTATTGAAATAATTGTCAGCTAATTTAGTAATCGATTAATCGTTAACTGGAGAATAGAGACTCTAAGACTTGCCTTTAGGTGACAGAGCGACCCACATAGAGCAGTAATTATACCATAATTAAAACATATATATATTTTTGTTTTGTAAATATGCTCTATCCAGAACTCCTCACATAGAAAAGTTTTCGTTTCATATGGTTTAATTCTGTAAAAAATCTTCTTAAAGGAACCTTTTGCTATTCGATTATCAATAAAAAAACAAAAAAACTTGATAATTTAATCGATTAGAAAACTAGTTGTTAGTTGAAGCCTTATTTTAAACTAAAAAGGTCTTCAGGGAGAGAAAAGGGAACCCAAGTCCTCGTTTCTGTCCACCAGCATGGCGACCAAGCTGCTGTGATCATCCGGACGAAAGGCAGCTGAAACAAAAGGTGAAGCTCTGGGTTTCCGGCTCCATCTATGCTCTGGATAAAGGCAGCAATGATAAAAGCAGTGAAAGCCTGGAGTGATGCTGCTGCTTCTCCACATCGAGAGGAAGATGGTCCCTCTGATAACAATGACTCCCGGACCAGGAAAGGCAGATCCAAACTCGCCAGATCTCTTTTGTCACCCGAGAATCTTTTTCAGATACTATTTTAAATTGGAGGAAAACTCTAAGATTCTGGTCTGAAGAACTGCTCATTTTAAAACCCAGATTCCCAGCCGAGAAAGACTGACCCCCAGTAGGACACCTCCATTAATGACAACAACGGTGGAGTTAAGATTTAGGAGAACTGGTGATTCTGACAATCTGAGCCCTGTTTTGGTTAAGAAGCTTGGAACTCAGAGAAATGCTGCAGAGTTCTGAAACCTGATCATAGGGAAGGAAATGAGAGCAGGAGGCGCTAAAGAAGAGAAACAGTGAACCTTGCTGAGGACAGCAGAGCCGATTTCATCATCCACACATGAACTCGCCTCTAGTTTCCATAATGAAGAGCTAAAAAGCATCAGATTGAATAGAGAAATTCAAAGAGAACCTAACAAGCAGCTGTATATTAACTTAACAAGAGGAAGCGGGAAACAAGCAGAGACCAGCTTCAACCAGCTTCCTTTTGGGTTCTAAGATTCCAGGTAAGATGATCTGAGGAGCAGACCTGATGGTTCTGAAAGATGCAAGGAGATCCATGCTTGAAGAAGACAAGCAACCATTTTTCATGTGTTTCTTTGGTCTACGACATCCCACCATACAATGCACACCCAACAGTAGAAAGGGGGAAACAGCTTTTAGCTGAGACAGGTTGATTTGTTCCAGACCCATGTTTACATCAACACAACCACATAACACGCAGAGATCATTTTAAACTGACTCAACACCTCAGGTGTGAAAATCACCCTGACGGTTGTTATCCAAACCGTTTCTAAGTGTTTCCTCTGTGATGACACGTTTGAAGTTCAGTCAGGTTTCATAGCACTGATAAAACAACAGTGAAGTTTACTAAAGACAGGTTAAATAACCTTTCCCCGTTAATAAGCATGACCTTTTATTAGAATATGTTTGGTACAAAAATAACAACATACTATCTATTTTATTCTGTACAGAGGACTGCAGAATGTGAATTGTGTTCTGGTTTAGGAGCTACATCTTCAAAAAAATAAAAATAAAAATTGGTACAGGAATCTGTAATTCAAGCCACTTAAAATGTTTTTGCACGTGGACGTTTGGACTCACTGCTGTCGTAGATGGGATCGGACACCACCGGCTCCAGTCGTCTAGAGAAACCGCCGTCGCTGTCAGGGAGGAACGCGGTGAACATGAGGCGGACCACGCTGAGGTCCATCTCCTTGGCCTGGTTGGCTGCTGCGCTGCTTATTACGCTACGCTGGTGCTCTGAACACACAAGACAAAGAAAGCTGACAAAAGAACCAGGATGGAGAGAGGAGAGCCAACGCATCCTCAGAACCCATACAGAGGCTTTTCATAAAAGAAAAAAAAACATTTACGTTTATAAACAAATACCAACAATGACTGCACTGATGAATGATAAAATCTTCAGACAAGAATGTTTTACTTTCATTATAAAAATCAATAAAAAACATCAACTGACAGTAAAATAAGTTTTGATAATTGATGGAAGGTTTTTTCAATTGAAAATGCTCCATATGTTTGAAAACGATCGGGTAAAGGATTCAAAATTAGTGAAAAAAAAAAGAAAAGAAACTTGGAGAACCGGACTACTGTGATCATAAAAAGATCTGGATCCCAGAAGGAAACTGGATTAGCAGCACATTTTAGTCCTATATTTACATTAGAGATTAAACACCCCCGATTGGTTCTGATGGGTCCGTTCAGACTATATATATCAGGATCACTGACCTGTAAGGTCCCGTGGGACTCTGACCTCTCCCTGCTGGGCGTCAATCTCCGGGTGGATGGAGATCCCGCAGTTGTAACCCATCCTGAAGGCTTCGATCATCCGCTCCTCCAGGGTCTTTGCCACGTTCTTCTTGGTCACGTGGAGAATCCCCAGGTTGGGAAAACTGCAAAGTAAGCAGTAAGCAGAGTAAGAATTTGTCCTATTGAGGAAGACCAGATCCAAACCCAGCCTGTTTCTCTCACTAACTGATGCCTTCTTCTTGCTTCACTTCTTGCAGCAGAAAATGTTAACACAGAAAAAAAAAAAAAATTAAAGAAAATCGTTGAGCTTATCTCAGATTTAGTTCCATCAGTAAATGTGCTCATTTCTTTGTCTAATATTTCTAATATTTCTAAGTTTATTTTACTCATACTGCAGACTAATGTGTAAACTAACCCATCTGTAATCGTAGGCTAAGGAACGTCCTTCTAGAAAACATGTCTGAGTCGAAGCTTCAGCTTCCTGTCTGAAGTCTTCACATTTTGCTTAAATGATTTGACAAAATTATGTTCCCTCATGATACAATCTGCAGGAAAACAACCCCACAGCATGAGGTTGCCACCTCTCTACATTACAGCTGGGAGGATGTTAGGGGTTTTTTACAAATTGAAAGACGACCATTAGATCCAAACATTTTTGGTTTTACCATCATCAGAACACAGATTACTAGTAGGTAGCTCTTAATCTCTGAGTTCCTTCGCAAAATATAATCTTAATATAGTCTTTTTATGCTGATGTTGGGATAGCAGCTTCTTCATTTCTGAGTGGTCCTTCAGTCCATGTTTATTCTGGACATGTTTCACCTCAGACAAGGACTCTCTCCATGCCTCATAAGCATCTTTAAAAGGTGTTCAGCTGATGGCTGGATATTCCATCATGGTTCTACTGGAACAGATGAAGGTGGAATTTTCAGCAATCAGGAATTCAGACTGAAGGATGAACTGATGATGACTGGAGGAGGTCCATCTTCCTCTTCCTAAAATTTGGGCTGATTTATGTAGATGGTTCCAGGATGTCAAACAAGGAAGCAGTAGGTGTGATCCTCCGAAGAACTCATGAGTTACGGACTCATCAGAGGCTTACAAAGCTGTGACATCATCTGGGCTTTTGGTTTAAAGTAAAGAGTCTAATCTGAATGATGTCAGAATAAAGGCTGAGATGTTTTATGGAGGATGTTAACAATCAAGTTAATTTTAAACTGATTATTCTATATCAGCAATTTAAAGTCTGACTGAGAAAACAGAATGTGTGAAGTGGGCGGAGTTACTCCAAGCCCACCTGTCACTATTCGATTCATCCAGGAAGCCCGATTCGTACCATCAGCTCTGCGCAGTTTCCATAATTCATTTAATTATGGTACTAAAATAATCTACTTACTAAAGAATGCCAATACACACCTTTAAAAAAATGTTTTAGGATTTTTCTGAGACAATTTTGATGCTTTTTACATTTTCTTTTTTAAAACAGCTTGTCTGATGTCATCATCAGGCATGCTTAGTGTAGTCCAGCTACATATGATTAAACCATGTTCATCTGCATTTTAGTTGTTTCTTTCTTTATATTAAGTGCAATATACCCTAATGGCAACACGAAAGGAAAACAAAACTCAAAAAGACGAGATTTATGTTTAAATCCAAAGTCAAAGAAGTTAGCTCCCGGAAGTAGCATAGGATCCCATTTCCGGTGCAGATCGGGCACAGATGACTGATAAAACAGGATTTTAAGGCATTTATTTTCCCAGTAAATATATAATTAACAAATAACACATTATAGTTTAGTACGGTTATTATTTTTAAATAATAACTATAAATAAATCGAGGGCCCGGATGCATATCTTTTGCGCATGCGCAAACGAGCTGATGGTAGGGATCGTGCTTCCTGGAAGGATCAGGTTGTGACACCATCACCCCTAAGAAACATGCAGGGTTCAGACCTGATGATGGAGTCTTTGGACTGCAGGTCAGCGATGCAGATGCCTTTATCGCACTGCTTCCCCACCAGACTGTGTGCGTGGAGCTGAGGCAGCTGGGTCTGCGCCGTCACCAACTGGACCACGACCCGGGCTTGACCCTGGTAGTGACAGATCTGAAATACACAGAGCAGAACGCCGGCGTTAACGCAGGCTGGGCCCTCAGGGAAAACAGAGAATTAGAAAAACGAGGAGGACGCTGTGGAAAGAGGAAGCTGCTGGCTGCAAATATTCGATGATGAGTGGTGAAATCAGACAGAATGAGGTTTCTGAGCTTCACAGATGAGTCACACAGACTCAGACCTTTGGACTTTTTCAGTCTATCTGTGGTGGTTCAGAGAAACTTTCTCCTGGTACAGATGACTCACTGAAACTTCTTACCTCCATTGACATAAGTGATATCTGAGGTAATGAATTTAGGCCGCCCAGATGTGAAGCAAGATGAGCTGAAAACAGTCCACCTTTCTTACAGTTTGAAAAAAGATCAGCAGATGTTTTGTGATTCAGATAGACGATCAGAGCAAAGTTTCAGACTGAGCAGTGATGGCTGTGTTCAAAAGAAGTCAGAGCAATAATCCCATTAAACCAGGTCTATAATCTGCAATCATAAAGAGTCTTTCTTCTTAAATTTACATGCCAACCATCTCAGTCAGATGGACTTTCCTTTCTGCCCACACGGGTAAAGATTTGAGTCATCTAGATGCTGAAGCTTAGAGAGGATCAAAGAGACATTGAGAAAATGAAGAGGAAAATCTGAGTTAATTAATATTCCAACTTCATGGTTTCCAAATATTATCCATCAACCCTTGCAGGTCCAGGACTACAGTCTAGAGATCCTGGAGCTCCCAGTGACTCTTTCTGGTTCCTTTTAGAGAATCTGAGGTTTTCTTAGTCATGATGCGATATGCATTCAATCTACAGAGTTCAGATGTCTACCTTCGGGATCTCTTCCCGGTAGGACACACATTTAGAGGCCATTCTGATTAAATCAGCCACCAAAGGTGACCCCCTTTTATGACAAGAAGCAGCAGCTCCCCTTAGGGAGCCCAGATATAATTACTATTTTCATTATATTAAATATGGTTTTATATTGGCTACTCTCCGTAACTTGCCGTAGACAGCTGGAGTTTAGGCACCAGCACCCCTCGGTACCCCCCTAGGTATAAGTGTTACTGAAAATGGATGGATGGATGGATGGATGGATTTTGCAATATGAGCTTTGTCCCTTGGCCAGGTTTTGGACTCTCTGTCCCTCATGAAACAAAAATCTAATTTGATTCAACAGTTTAACTCCCTATTTTAAGGGAAAATAATGTGCTTGAAAGATATATTTGTATCTTATTTTAATTTGGGTAAAAAAAAAACACCTTTCCCAAGCGATCACTGTTATTTTCACCATAAAATATATTGTTTAACTTTCTTTTTTTTTAACCTTCATCTACTTGCAACCGCATCAGTTGTCATGTGGGAGAATGGCTCAAGGCAGGATAGCAGCGTTAGCTACATGGAAGGAATAAAGGTAAAGTTTTTAAAAAACCAACAGTAGCTTTATTGGACGTTATTTCTAAACACTTCATATTTCTTTTGGATCTACAAATAATGAGAACAATACCAGTTTAAAATGTGAATTTTGAGTATATTTTATGCTAACTTTAAAGCAGAGATTAGAATAATAGGTCATGAGATTTTAAAGAAATGCCAAACATGATCATTTCCAGTACTTTATATATAATATAATATTTATAGTTAATATATATATTTATGGGATTTCATCACAACCACTATCAGTTAATATTTCTACACACTGTGATAAATTAAATCGAAGAGAAATATCTGTAGTGCTTTCTTGAAAGAACTCCAGAGATGGTGTTTGGTTCACAGGGAAGAGGGTCTGCATTGTGTTTACAGAGAGATGCTCCAGTCTGCTGATCCCCAAGGATCTATCACAGTTCCCATTCTTTGCATTCTAACCGTTGGAAATGCTTGCGTCAGTAAGAAGGTGGGTAGGTTTGACTGAAGACGGCTGAGATATCTCACTGGGAGGTGGACCAGTGATTCCTCTGGCTTTAACGGTTTTATTCGCGAGTCCTTTCCATGAACCTGGAATTACCAATCCAGGATAATAAAAAAAACATCACGGAGCGAGTAACTGGATAAACACTTTTGACTGAATTGGCATGCATGACTGGGGATCTACACCAAGTAAATCATTTTTTTCTTCCAGCACACAGGCAATCTAACACTAAAGGCCCTAAAAAAAGACAAATGCTGATAGGCTCCTTTTGTTTTATCTTTCAGGGATTTCTCAGATGTTAATTTTCGTTATCTCTGTGTGCAACCACATGAGAAACTCTTTCTGATTCTGCTCTCTGTGTGTCAGCAGCCGTGCCGCTGCAGACATTTGCCTGCAGGAACATTGCAACTGCTGCAATAAATAAAGCCGAGCCCACTTCCTCTTCCTGGTTCTGTCGGCCACTCAAAGCGAAGAATCAGACGAGTGTGGTTCCTAGAATCAGAGCGAGAGCTGCAGTTTGAGGGTTTCCTGGCTTGTTCACATGGTAAGTCAGCGCTACCTGACAGCTGCTACAGGTCGAAACAGAAGCTGGAATCTAACCTGCTGCACTTTGAGCTCTCTTTCTCTCCAGGTGTTGATTCAAAGGAAGAAAGTCATTAAAACATCTGCAATGGTTTCATCGGGTTGAAGGAACAGAACAAATGAACAAAAACCAAGATAAAGAACGTTGACATTAAAACTAACAGCAATGATTAATGTTGGAGGCTCTAAGATTTCTAACGTAAAGAGGAGCTGCTGCAGATCAGAAAAGGATTAAAACCCATGGTTTAGTCCTGCATGGAAGGAGATCAGAGGTTCTGACTCATCCTGTTCCACCTCCAAATGATGTTCCTTCCATGTTGTGCTGGAAGTGTAGCCTGTAGGGGGCAGTGTTGGAATCTAAAGATCCTTTTATCTGTACTTCATCATCCAAAACATCAGGCCGACACAGAGATGTTCAGGGACCGTTGGACACAGAGCTGTGGGGTGTTCTAGAGAGCATTTAAAGCAATCCAGTCATCAACACAAGGTTCTGGTGATAGACTGACTTCAATAAGAGGATGATTCCACTCAGCCAACTGAGGTGGACAGCGCTCCTTCAATTTAGAGCCAAAAACATTTGCCTGTTTCACTTTGCTAGATTCAATACGGAGTAGTTTTAAACACTATGAGACTGAAAGGGAAATGACGCGCCTGAATTTGTCAAAAAAAAGACCCAGACTGACCTGAAACTGTTAAACAGGAAGCTGAAGAACTAATGACCCACAGAGAAGCTCTCAGTCCCCGACCTGCTCTACACAAGGTTTTAGAAACTCTCTCTTAGATCCAAGAATGGCTACACAAGTCTAGAAAAACATGTAAAAATGATGCACATTCCCTTTGTTTCTGTCTGAGCTTCACTAAAACCACAGCTCATGAAAAATCTACCTTGCAGAACAAAGATAAATATCTAAAATCCTGCTTAATCCTCCTCCCAGTAATGGTAATAATGCACAGACTGTACTTCCACGTAACACGTTTACTATTAGGATTATAAGGGCCAGTTTCCTGAGCAGAACCTGCAGGATCACCAGTTTTATCCAAAATGTGACGACAACCACCTGCTTAGACATTCTGTGCATTAGATGAGGTGGGAGTGGCCATGTCAGGAGCATCTGGTTCTATCTGACATCAGCAGACCTGAGTTTTGACTCTGGTTTAGGTTTTGTTTTGGTTTCATTCCAAAAAGCAGCTTATTTCTTAATTATGCTAACATAACATCTCTAATGAGCTTTCTCTTCTGCAGCTTGTTTTATACTGTATTGAATAACTTCTACCAAATTATGTCACCATCTTTACATCTTTTTAGAACCTGCTTCCTTAATCCTTTCCTTACAAATGTTTGTTCTACTAATAATTATTGAAACCTGAGGAGCTTCAATCTGCTCCTCTGACACATCCAGCAGCTTCTGCTCACCTGGACTCCTGGCCTGCAATCAGAAATCCAGCTGCAATTCAGTTCAAAGCTTTCAAAATCTAATAAAACAATCAACCGTAAACGGACCAGGAGGCAGAGGAAGGGCGAGGAAAACATGTCAGATGTGGTCTGGTTCCTATGATGTAGACGCTGATCATAAAAATCAACAACTGGTGCAGATTGTGAAAAACTTTAAGACATTTTAAAAATGTGTCTAAAGGTTAAGATCAGCACTAACTGGAGCAGTAAGGGTCCTTCAGTAGGACAATGTTACCATCAGAACCGTTGGATTGGACCTTCAAAGCCTACTTCTGATGGCTAGATAGATAATTGTCTGAACTTGAACCGAATCAGAGAGAAGCCAACCGAACCAGGAACAGGTCCCTGTGGGACTCCATCGGTGAATTTGGGGTTCCAAGATTAAAGTCCCCTAATGCACAGAACGCTGCTGAAATATCTGTAGATAAAACCTTTAAAGGTGCTGAGCCAGAGCCATGTTGGGCTCTGAAGCAGCCTGGGATTTTTCACTCAGCTGAAAATAGCTTGTGAAACTGGTTTTCCATGACATCATGAAGCATTTTAAATAGAATGCCATGTTGTTGGAGTTCTTGGAGGCTGAACAGCATTCTGATCGTTTGTGCTTTTATTCTACTAATACACCGGAGCACACACACACACACACAAAAGAAAAGAACGGGCAGCTCCTACAAGAATGATGGCTGAGAATCAAACAGCAATTCTGCTCTTCTTTGGTGTTTAAGTAGTTGGTAGCTTTGCATGGAAGCTCTGAGTGAAGTAGATGCAGGTTGGACTCAGATGTGGACGTTTTCCGGCCTGGCTGAAGCCCATGATCTGTTGGTGTGACGAGCCACTGCAGCACGAGCGAGGGGTTAACTGTGTCAGTGCTTCTGGGCCTGAGTGGGTGCCGGCACTGACACCGCGCTCTCACCTCAAAGTTGAAACTCTGCACCTTTCCTGTCTGTGACGCAGCGCTGCTTCCTTGTAATTAGCGGTGGGTGTCGTGAGGAGGAAATTCCCGACAGACATGAAAGCTGCAGAGGCGTGTGCGGTTTTAGAACAGGCTCCTTGTCGGACAGGTCCGGGCCAGCTCTGTTCGGATCAGAGGTTGCCGAGAGCGACAGACAGACAGCGAGCCCGAAAAGGATTCTGACCTTCCAGAGGGATCAGTCTTTTTGGACTACACAAAAAAAAAAGGTGTAAGGATGAAAAGTCGGAGAAACATTCTGGAAGGTTCTTCAGGTGAACTGATGACATAAGTCATCATGGAAGCATAAACACTGGTTCAGACTCTCAGCAGCAAAAAGCAATTTAAAAGTAATCTAATAATAATTAAATGTTGCTGAATGAGGAGTAGCTGGTTCTGGCTGTGGGCAGGAAAGGGCTCCTGTAGAGGTATGTGTTACAGCGACTGCGACATTGCCTGAGATCTATTTTCTCAGACATTTGTTAATCACTCTTAGTCAGCTGGATATAGGCACCAGCACCCCTCACGACCCCGCTTGGGATAGGTGTGACGGAAAATGGATGGATGGATTAGTGAATAAAGGTAAAAAGTAAGTAGACCCTCTGTTAGTTCTAGAGGGTGCACTGCAGGAACACATGGAACATTGCTTCCGTTCAGCAGCATAGCTCCCCAACCAAGTCAGAACTGAGAAAACTCAGGTTTGGAAATTCTTCCTTAAGGCTCAGATGGTTCTTTGAGACCAACTCGTCTCCACAAGATGACAGCTTTGATCCTGAACCTGCTTAGTGATACTATTTGGATGAAGTTTGCCAGATGCTTTAACTTGCATGCATTAATAAAACTGATCAGGGTTCTCATTGATACAAGGAAGCAGCAGATGATGTTTTTTTCTCCAGATTATTCCCAGAAAACAAGAAATGAAAAAGATCAAGATGAGTTAAAAATCCAAAAGTCAAGGAAACTTAGTGCAGAAGCTGAAAATCTGGGCTGATAAGGAGAAGATGTAACTAAGAGAAAACAAAAGGGACGAGTAAGAACCATCGGCACTGCTGTCCCACGGGGCACAGGGGTTTTCCCGCTCCACAGCCTTGGCATGCAAACACGCCTCAGCAGCACCAGCCTGCAGAGGAACACCGCTTCCTGCTTTGGTTCTGTGACTTCATCATCACATTCTTGATAAAACAGAAAACACAGGAGCAGAACATGACCTGACACCACCCCACAGGGTCAAGTGTTCCTGAAAAACAGGTCTCTGTAAACAGACCTGAGAATCATCCCGACAAGTCCTCAGTCAAATCCCGGCCCGGAAAAACGAGACAGATGATCCAGGAACTTCCTCCCTTAAAATAGCTGACCTGCATTGGATCAGAGCCTGTTCCGTGTTGATCAGCAGATGTTCGGGCAGGTGAGCGGAGTGTGTGTTGGGGCATGTAGATCCCATTAATCACACAACGTTTGGATTTTTACAGTAAAAGGAAAAAAAAAAACAAAAAGAGGCAGCAACAGGAATCTGGGGATTTCCTCCAAACGTGGGAGTTTCAGAGTCCAAACATCAGCAGAAAACAGAAATATTTTGGTCCAGAAGGCATCAAAGATCTAACAGAGGAGAGATGGACGGTTTTGATTTAAAACCTTACAGATTACATGTTTAGCCCTGCATAGCGCCACCTAAAGGTGTTATTTCTGTTCTTCATCATACAAAACCAAGTTCAATCCCTCAGAACATCCGTACAGAAAGCCCGGCTGGTACTGGCTGTCTGGATAAGGTGAGCACGCCCACTCCAGGATAAATTAAAAACACAATAAACCCATTTAACCTGCTCTGTTCAAGAGGAAATAAAACTCAAACATGAAGGATTTGCAGAAACCTGGTTCCATCACAATCCAAACTGAAGCTCTTTTGATTCAGATGGCCATCTGGTGCCATGATGAGCGGCCATATTGGAGGAGGCGACTCGTTGATTGGTATTAAATTAACCGTTGACACTTAAAAAAGAAATCTCATGTAAAAATACTTTGATTAAAGCAGCAAATGAGGCAAAATGTCTGAAGACAGAATTGGTGCAATGAAAACTGCACAGTGAACCTTTCCACTCTGTTATCCAGTCCTCTGTAGCTCCCTGTTTAAGAACTTGACTGGAACATTGCAAGAAAAACATGCAGGACAGAAGGATTTTTTGGACCTGGGTCTGGGCCCGCATGTCTCTTCATCATGTCTGGAGGAAGCTCCAGTTGCTGGACGTTTCCTGTTCCGTTATACTTCACTACGACCATAGAAACAGAGCATGCAGAGCATATAGGCGCCATGAGAACAAAAACATCTCACTAAACACCCTTAGGCCATTCAGTTATAATGATGAAGAGTGCTGAGCACACTTTTGCATGTTCGCTAACAGCTAATAGCAGTGTTCTCGTTCAGCAGTTTAACTTTCAAGCTTAATGTTGGAAACTGTTAGCAGAATGTTTAGCTTCACCTATATTAGGTTCCCCTCACTTTAAAGGGTCTATTTCATGAAAGGAGTTAAAAATGTCTGAGTAATCCTGATGAATTCTGCTCCTCCCTGTCCTGGAAAAACAAGACAGGTCTGCGTAGAGCTGTCATTACCCTCCCCCTCCAGGAAGTACTACCTTCACACCAGTAAACAACACCCCTGGTTTCTCTGGTGATGTGTGGCAGAGCATGATAATTTCTGTCCTAAGTTGAGACAAACGATCTAATTTAGCAGCTAGCATGCACAGGGAAGCAACTGTTCTTTTATAGCTGATCTCATGGCCGTGAGATCCCTCTGACTTTGTTAAGACTTCCAAAAGTAGAGCCTTCAGACAGAAGTGCCACAATAGATCAAACATCTTCCTTCTGGTTTGGAAGAAACACTTTCATAATAGGAATACTCCACAGTGGCAAAGACAATATTTCATCATATATATGCTTATATTTGATGTTGGCAGACTGAAATAAGTTTCATACAGAACCGTAAGCTAACAAAATTCCCAATACGGTAACATGCTGTTGGCCTTCTTCATGTTAATGTCAGGGTAACATTTATGCAAAAAGTGAAAGTACGTAAAGAAGTTGCTTTAAAATGTAAATAAGTGCTTGATTTTCCTATCATTCATATTTTATGTTGGATCATTTTTGGTGATCTGTGAATACGAAACTTTGCGCTGAGAGCAGACCTCATTGTCGACACCTTTACACCACAGAGGCGCTGAGCAGAGATAAAGTCAGCTCAGTGTTTTCAGGAAGTGTTTCCTCTCATGCTCACAGCTTCTAGCTGCATGTGAGGCTCGGTGCAGCCAGATTGGCTCCGTCTGCACCGTCCTCCATTCAAAGCTCACCCAGTTCAAACACAGAAAGCAGACAGACGTTAGGGCTACCTTCACGCTCGGGTATGTCTTCCTGTTCTTCTCACTAGAGGCTCCTGGTAGACCGCCGTGAGACGGACCTTCACAGCCGTACCTGAACCTGAAGCCGCGCTGCAAAACAGAGAAACCCACACAGTGAAGAGAACAACACTGAATGGAAAGTTTCATGTCAACATTGTTACATGACCTCCTAAATAACAAATATTATAGCGCAAATGGAGAACATTAGGATCATGGAGCTGCTATGACCCTGTTTGGGTCATCTGCTAAAGAGATAGAGTCAAATTTGTTTCTGGAATATTTAGGTCTAGGTTGTTTACTCAATGTATATTTATACTGGCCCAAATCATCATCCCGCCACCACTGTGCTTCATAATAGGTGTAGAGTGTTTGTTCTGATCTGCTGTTTCTGGTTTCCTCCAAACATGTTTGAGTCCATCATGGTCCTACGTCTCCACCCTCAGAGGATACTTTCCCAGAGGTCTACTAGCTTAGCTAACCGTGGTCCTGATAATCATTCCTCCTTTCTGATGGCTTCAGTGATGCTTTAACTGATGGACTTCAGACAGTCTAACCCTAGTTTCAGACGGTTCCATCTAGAAAGTCACTGATGATGTCTCCCCATCTTTCTTAACCTGAACCTCTTTACATTGACAGAATAAGCACAGATTATAAATAGCTTGATCAAATTAAATATCTTTAAAAGAAGGTGGATTCATTCAAATTTGAGTCTAGCATAAGATGTGTCTGCAGAATAATCCTCCTCAAACAAACAAAAAAAAAAAAAACAACAACCAGAACCACAAACAGACGACTTCCTTTCTCTCTCTAAGGTCTTCTGTTTGTGATTGAAGGATGACGGCTGTGAAATGAGAGGGTGCATGACTGGGTGGGTTTTCACCTGCTTTGGCTGCTCCAAGATCTGCAAGTACGGTGCGTCCACTAAAAGAAACAAAAACATGTTCTGAGTCAGATTTTTCTTTTAGTTTCAGACCTGAAATGTTACTATTTTTTTTTTTATTTCTCTTTGTTTTCTGCTTTGTCAACATGTAGATGGAACAGTCCCATCCAAACAGTTCTTCTTATCAGTAAATTCTTTATCCTGAATCTGAACCCTCCAACATCCCATCAGAAGCAGAGCTATAACAATGAGTCTGTATTAAAGGACATAGAGGATACAACTTGATGAGTTTTGGAGAAGAACAGCCACGATGTGGCAACTAGAAAGCAGAAAAAAGCCCCTATACTCACGGGATGAGCTGTTGTGTCAACATTGAACAGAAAACTCAACAAGGAAACAGTTTCACCTTGGCTTTTTTGTTCCCCTCTGAACCAGAGTCAGTCCCATTCCGTTTTAGCTGATTCATAATGGAAATAGGACTCATTTTGCATACATGGGGTTATTCCTGAAGAGAGTAGTTTAGTAAAATAACCGCACGGATCTCCATTAGCTCAGATAAGCTATAAACATGATGTCATCTCTAAAACGATATATTTATTTCATGATAGAAAAAAAACCCTTAAAACCCAGTGAGAAACCGTAACTAATATGGTAACAAGAAAGAGAAAACAGTAGGGATATTAAAATATCCTCGTGTTAACTACCCAGCTGCTATTTCTAACTGTTAAAAATGACATGCTTTGCTGATTCTTCTGCTGATTTTTAAACATATCATCTGAGAAGTGACATTTTTTTGTCGACCATAAAGTCCATATGTGGTCAAATTACTGCGGGATTCCAGTCACTGATGTCACATATGTAAACAGAGTCCATCTGCCATTCCTCCATCAATCTAACAAGGCTACAACACATGAGCAAATCTGCAGTGACCGTCTTTCAGCAACAATTCTTTCCAAAGAAAAGCTTCATGAGCTGCATTAAACTATTGCTCAACAAAGACTTATAAGGTAAGAGCTTCAGCTGCAGGTAAGAAGCAGGTGTGTGTGAGTACATCAGCACCACAGTGAGGAAAGGCAGGAAAATGGGGAGAAGTCTGTTTCTGTGAGACTCCTGTGTGCTCCGAGCAGAAACTTCATAGATTTGATCCCAAAAACCTCGGAAATGTTCCCACGACTCGTCTGCACACAGTAGAAAGAAGTTTCAACACCAAGAGCTTCAGATTAGGTCTGCTGCTTCTTCTTTACTTCACAGCCACGGGAAAGAGGAAGCGAGAACAGAGACGGCGCGTCACGAAACTACCCTTTCACTTTGCTTTCATTCCTTTCCCCTGTTATTTCGTTTATCCAAACAGAAACTCTCTGTTAGTCTTTCCTGCCCTACAGCTGTGAAGCAGAAACATCGATTTCAATCCCTACTTCATGCATTTGACCATTGCTGGCTCTTTTGTGTTTTAACAGCCAACCATCAGCTGAACAGACATTTCATTCATTCCTTCGTGGGACTAACAAGGGCTGCTGTTGTCTGAAGTAACCAAGTCAAATCAGGCCATTCTACACCTTTCAAGCATACCGCAAACTGAAAATTATGATAAGTAATCTTTATTTCTATGATTTGTTGGTTTACCCTCAGTCAAGCAAAAAATATAGAGAATTTCTTCTAAAGCAAATCTGATTTGATGCTTCAAGTTTGCAGGGAACCCCCAAATTTACCTGTTTTACAAGCTGAGCTTAAAAAGCAAATAGAGGAAAGAGGAGGAGGGTTATAAATGATCGGATCAGGTTTGATCAAACGCTCCTAGAGGCCTGGATTTATGTGTGCTGTATTCTGTCCTTCATATCTGCCAACAGCTTGGATGTAAACGCAGCCTTGCGCTGCCTGTCTGTGATTGGCTATTAGCTTTACGAGTGGTAGTAGGCTGCACCTTCATTTGGTTTGTTCTATTCTACTTAAACTAAAAAAACTAAAATTTCAAGAAAACTAAGAGTTTTAAAATACTCTTATAAGTAGATAAACAAATATCTAAAATAGACATAAAAAGCTTTATCAATTTGTCGTGCACAAAGAACCACGACATACATTTAATTATAAATACTATTTAAGGTATTAAAAAAACGTTACATACCAATGTTAAAAATTTAACTTTTTATTTAACCAAGATAAATAGAAAAAAAATACAAAAAAAATACAATACTTGGAATGCTGTGAATACTAGCATATACTATAAAATTATTAGCATATATAAGAACCGAAACGTTTTGAAAAAAGAAATGAAAATTGTGCAATTAAAAGTCCAGATAAATAAATTGAGTTAAAATGTAAATAAAGAAAACACTTTAAACATATTAAATTCTTCCTCTTTTTGACTATTGAGCTGATGTAACGAGTACATTTCTCCACTGTGAGATCAATATAGTCAGGCAATCAATCAATCAATAATAAATCTACATTCTTAATAAAATGTAATATATTATGTTAAAAAAACAAGATAGATAAATAAATGTAAACTCTGCGAACTTCTTATTACTTTAGAAACATTAATATTTTAATCCTTTTCTGGATAGCTTAAATGACCAAAAGATAAAGATCTGGGACCATTGGGGCTCCATGGATGGGCCCTATTGGAAGCAGCTTAGTTTGCATAGAAAACAACGAAGCATTAGTGAGACCAGTAACTGTCAGAGCTCAGAGGAAAACATGTTCTACCACACTAGAACCAGGACTAGAACCCTCTAGTTTATAATCTACACCTGATTATTATTAAAGTGATTAAACTTCAAATGTCTTTATGGGCTCAGCCTAAGAGTCTCTGCTAAACCAGAACCATCATGACCAGAACCATAAGACCTCACCACCCTTCCTCAGCCTTTAGCCAGAACCTGTACAAGTTCTACTCTGTGAAAGAGGGAATATCAAGCAGGGAGTGAGGTTCAACCAAAAACCCAAACATCAGAGCAGTTTCATGTGGATGGGCGGATCCAAACAGGAAACAGTGAAGCCAAACCTCAAATTAACAGAAGAGTAGCAGTGTTAGCGCCAAGGTAGACCAAAAGAAAAGGTTCTGCTAGCCAACCTGTCCTCGGACCAACAGAATTATCTGTCTTCCCGAGGCAAGAAAATAATCAGAACCTGTTGCTTGAACTACCTGATGGTTCGTAGGTGGCCGTGGCCACGCCGAGCAGCTCTGGAGAACAAACACAAATAGATCCATGAAGGTGAGGAAGGTGAAAGTACTCACCTGACTGCAGGGATGGGGTATGAGGCATCGCTGCAAAGTGCGGGAGCTCCCAGGATGGGTCGTTCAACATGGTGTCGAAAATCTGCAACGGACAAAAAGCTGTGGAACATCATTCGTGTTTCAGCAGGACAGAACCTCTCTGGGTTCTAATGGAACACCAGGAGCTTATAGCAGAACATTATATTCAATTCCTGTCAGACATTTGAAGACAAAACAATAGAGTCTGCTCCAATCCATTTTCTGCCTTACTCCAGCTGTGGCTTCAAATAAGAAGGGATATAAAGTCCCTCCATTAGGTCTCTGTCTACATGTAAACCTCTAAGCAGACACCAGCTGTGATGACACAGCTGGTTCCTCCTGATGCTCCATCACTCACTCCAGCTTCTCTACCTGAGGCGTCTCTCCACTCCTGGAGGGAACATTGCTCATACTCTGCAAAACTCTTATTCTTTCTCCCATCACCTTATAAGTCCTTCCACCATGGAGAACACACCTGATTTCAGCTTTCACAGTTATCACAAACACAACGTCCTGCAGTACAACAACTCAGGAATGGATGAATTACAAACAAAAATTAAACAAATGGGATAGTTATTTGTTTAGTGTGGTTTGGGCCCTTCTAAAACCTCTCTGCTTTTAGGGTTTAATTTAAAATGGGTATTTCCAGAAATCTAAATTCATCATTTCTGTGTTCAGGAAGCTTCTGGCAGCTGTTTAACATCCAGCTGGATCGTATAGCAGAACACAGGTGAGCTCACCTGGCTGGTAGCATGAAGATAGTGGTCGTCAGCAGCCATCGTGTCTGCAGATATCACACAAAGCGCCCCAGTTACACTAACAGTTTGAAAAAACAAAAAAAAAAACAAATGAAAACTTGATCAACATTGAAGTTAAGATTTTGATCAAAGAAATCCTCCAATATTGTGAAGTTAAAAAATACCAATAATGTTTTTAAAAGTCTGTGGACAAATTCAATCTGTAACTTCCCCTGATTTGTGTTTCCTATTACATGTAATTACTGACTGCCGTTAGGGTTGAAAATACTAAATCCTAAGCATAAATGTTCCAGATATTAATGGCTGTAACAGCAGCTGATATAAAACAACTCCAGTTTTAACTACATTTTATTCTAGATGCATATTTTTAACAACATTATGAGAATCTTTACTGATAGATATCCATACAAAGTCTAGTTGCACAAAAAGAAAATATCTGTGCAAAGTTTTATGCAATTTTGTCAGCTCTGAATAAATATCTACTATAAAGAAGATATAAAAACGATTTAATTAGATTCATTTGATTTCGAGACCTGGAATGGAAGTCACAAAGCTGCAGAGGCAAAAATGTATTACCAGAAAAATCAGGGATATGTTCGTGCAAATGGTAAATAAAAAAACGCCAGGATAATTAAAAATATTCATTTTGCTTTTGTTTAGGATGTCCATCTCCATCCATGTTATGGCCTTTCTCTGAAAATTGAACAAAGAATGTCTGCTTGGTACATCCGGATTTTCAGATGAATAAAATTCAATACTATACATCTCAAAAGTGGGTCTAAATGAAAACGAAAATACACTAGGAAGATCAGGGGACAAAGAATGGAGCGTTGCGGTTCCCCAACATTAAATGCAGACACAGCTGTTAAAGCCATTGGTTTGCAGCAGAAATGCACTACAACTAATTACTATACATTTAAAAAAAGAAACCAGTTAGAAACTTTAGTTTTTTCGATATATTTGAGTTATTCTAGCAGCAAAGCTGTCAATTACCTATCTTAGATGTAATAAACGCTCTATGATCACATATTTTTTACATTATAAAAAACTTAATATTTATTTTCAAAACAATAATTATTATTGTAAATAATAATTATTGTTGTCCCTGGTCTTTCATAATTACACTGTGTCCCTAGTCTTTCATAATTACCAATCAACAGTATTGTTTGATTTGTTTTATTTATATTTTACTCTCCTGACACCTGATGCTGTGGAACAGCGCACGTCCCCGCATCATATCCACTGTGAACGCGCTTCCTTGTCAGTTAGCTTCCGAGCTAAAAGCTAACATCCCACCCGTGGTACTACTGCTGTTGCTTCGCGGAGGTAAATTGTAAATCACTTTTAAAAACGGACACAGAAGCAGCAGCATCGCGAATAAGCTCTCGGTTCTGGTGTTCGAGCCTAACCGAGTCCCTCAAGGTCCTGTCGCGGTTGCTAACGCTACCTGTGCCCGCTGCCACCGGGAGCGCGCCTCAGGTTCCTACGAGACTCCGTTTAAAAATCACCCCAATTTATAAAAACCTCACGATTCCAGTTCATACGTAATGACTGCAGATTGTTTTCTACCACCAATATAAATAGAATAAGGAGCCCATCAATTTGGCAGTTATAATGATAGCAGCATTTTTTATTTTCTTATTTTCTCACTAATAAATTCATTTGTCACTAAGGACAAGACAGATTTCACACATACTAAGACTCCAGAGTTTAGGCTAAAATAAATACTTAATTTTCTTAAAATACGAGCCGGATTAAATGTCAAATATCACAGCTTTAAAAAATGTTTTTAGAGCTGTGTTGAGCGTTGTAATCATTTTCTGGGTTTTATTAAAGGAACCCCATTGTGTCCTCAGTCAAAGTTACCTGGCTAATAAGGAAGTAAGCAACACAACAAAGCAAGCGGAGCTGTACCAGTCCGGTCCGGTCCAAGGCGCGGTTCTGACAAAGTAGAGAGCCGGTTGGTCTGCTCACTGTTGTTAATGTGTAGTAAACATGATGTTACCTTGTCAGCTCGCTCAGGTGGAAGTCAGTTTGAAGTGTGACAGTTGGGGCTCGTTCCGCTTCACTTTAGTTCACGCATGTCCGTCATTATTTCCTCTACACGCAGAATCCGCAGACTCACTCTCACAGACTGATTTCAGCTCCACGAAACCATCGCTGGTCACAGTGGACTGAGATGTTTAATCCAGTCGAATCTACGCAAAACTGAATCCTCCAGGTGACACCGAGAATTAAGAGATTGGAGTTCCTTCCCCAGTGGAAATTCCCTCAGATGTTCAGTTTTACCAGAAGGGGGCAGCAGAGAGCAGCGCCGACACTAAGCGGATCTGACAGGAGGTCTCACTCTGACTAAGATCAACCACAAAAGGAAGCCGAGTGAGAGAGGACTCAATCCCAAACCAACCCCTAAACGCCAACCCCCCGTTTGCGCGTCCCCGCGGAGGGTCCGCCTCATTATAGTGGAGGTTTTTCGTGATTTTATGCAAAGACACGCGCTCTCCACTTAAAGAAAAAAGAAATGCACATTCACAACTCTGTACCTGCTCCTGAGAGGGAACGCCTAATTAAACACATTTCTACCGGTGCACGCTATATTTAAAAGTTGCTGTTTGCATCGCTCACACAAGCTTACTCTCCAAAAGAAGATGTGCAATTTTTCTAGGTCAGACACGTGTAGGATGGCCTTACATAAACATATCGCCAGAATGATTGACAATCAGGAGGACCACTTATTTTGACGATCCACCCATAAAAAGAACATCCTACAATATTCCTTTAAGTGACATCCCAAACCCTGTAGTGAGTTCAGTCCTTAAATAGTGAGTCTGTTGCTCTGTTAAAATTCATGGGCTGCGTCCTCCGAAGGCCAGATTCGAAGGACGTTTACGTAATAGCACGGCGCCGAGGTCTGGTCAGATTCCAAGACTTCTCGTTATGCCCCCTACAAATGCGTCCTTCTTTTTGCCCAATTTCTATGAGGTTCCATTTGTGTCAAAAATAAGCAGATGTAAAATGTCTAGATGTTGTGCTGTTGTTGCATATGTGTTGTCTGCATATGTCTAAGTTTCACATGTATTTGTTGCATATGTAGATGCTGCATATGCCTATGCTGCATATGTAGATTCTGCATATGTGTATGTTGCATATGTAGATGCTGCATATGTAGATTCAGCATATGTATGCAGCAACAGTAACATCTAGACATTTTACATCTGCTTATTTTTGACACAAATGGAACCTCATAAATTTCAAGGACGGGTCCGATGTATCCTCGCTATCCGTGGATATCCCAGTATAAGTGTATTCTCGTTATGAGTTCGTATGAAATCGTACGAAAAGTTGTGCACCGTAATTTCGTACGTTTTGGACGTTTTTTTCGTCATATGTGCATGCGCATCTTACGCACCATTCAAGAACATAGAATTTAATATACAATTAACCCTAACCCTGACCCTAACCCTACGATCTAAAACAGCAAGCCACGTAGTTAGAGACATGAAGTGATTATTGCACTGTTTTCCCCAGTTTTACGTCCATCCGCGGATCTGCTTTATTGTCTGTCTGCCTGCGCATGCGCACTGATCTGTTTTTTTGAGGAAAAACATCCAAAATGTACGAAATAGTGTGCATAACTTTTCGTACGATTTCATGCGAACTGATAATAGGATTCATTGCGAGACCGAGCAAGCTGGCTGCTCCGTGATCAGAGGAAATAATACTTGACGCCGAACAGTGGTGAATATTGGAAGTTCAATTTAATATAATACAAGTATGAATAGTTTCCTTAATAGTATTGAGTCCGATATGTGGCGGTAATGTTTAATTTATCTAAAGGTTTTTATCAGTTACTGTGTAAATGAGTTTGGCTGTAATTTAAGGACAGATTCTAATATATCTGCAGCATGGGGACTATAAATCTGATATTTTTATTTTTCCATTGCTGTTTTGCACAATTTGCTTAAAAATATTTTTTGTCGTTGAATATAATATATTTTGCAGATATATTTTTTATACATATGTTGTTTAGATTTACATATATACTTCTACCCCTTTTGTAGAATAGAATAGAATAGAATATAAAATTTCTTTCTTGTCCCACAATGGGCAAATTTACAGCAGCAGAAAGATCATATAATAAAATGGTCACACAAATGTGGACCTTAGAAAAATGTTTAAGAATAAGATAATAGTGAAGAGTTGAAAAATAAACAATAATATACTGTACTGTAAAGTTTTTTTTTTAAAATATCAAATTGTGCACCTAGAGAATAAATAACCAATATCCAGCTATGGACATTTTTACAGTAATGGACATTTGAAAATAGCAGAAACATCAGAGATGTGCAGAATGACAGCAGCATGTTATTTAACTGACTAAGGTTTCTATCATTACATTTGCTTTTATTTGTTCCTGCTCACGATGGTTTCATCTTTATTCCACTCTGGATTCACATGAGTGCAAACTTTGTTCACTTTACAATAAAAAAAAAAATGAAAAAGAAACAGTTTTCAAAAGTTCGTTATCCATTCTTTTTTCTGCTTTTTGTGTCAACTGTCATGGTTGCTAAGCGACAGGTGGTGAAAGCCACTGAAGGGTAGACCTGTCTGAATTCACAGCCAAAACTCTTCCGGTCTTATTTTCAAGGACCTGGAAGGATCCAGTCCAGGTAGGCCGCGTCCTTGGAGGATGCAGCCCATGAATTCGAACAGATCCTGTGTCAGTTGCAGGCTTGCTAGAATTCTACAGCAGGTGTAACAGCGGCTTGATGGAGGAGGAAGCCCGTTCCTCCAAATGTTAACTTCGCTAGTTTGCTCCATCTTTGTCACACTTACAGAAAATCACAAGTTAGTGGATGAAAAAAAAACGTAACAAATTCCAAAATGGAAGTTCCTCTGAAATAGTTTTATTTGACCGTATTCGTTTGTTCTAAGAAAGCGGCAAATGTAGCCACAGAGCTACAGCCATGCACATGGGGCGACACTGTGTTGCCATAGTGGGGACTGCTTCACTTTTCCATGGGGGGATAGAAGCCATCCCATTTTGTATATAGCCCCCACTTTTAATCAAGGTCCCTTACACAGCTAGGAGTAAGACTTCATTGGGAGTGACACTTGATAGTGCTTAGGGGGCGGTTTGGCCCAATCGTCACTCTGGCTTAGATTCAACAGGAAGGGAAGAATAGGTCTCACGTAAAAAAAACTTTTATATTATATTATACTGAAGAACTAAACTTTATCAACTGGTTTTATTTATCCGTGCAAGATTGGAATTCCCACTGGTAAGATACATCCTAATCCTACATCTGACCATCTTATTAGGAATGTTGGCCTGGTGGTTAGGGCATAGAGCTTGGAATCCTGAGGTCGTGGGTTTGAAACCCACACCGGCTCTCTGAGCAAGACCTTTAACCCCACACTCTGCTCTCCAGGGACCCCACGATGGCAGCCCCCTGCTGCTCAATGGGATGGGTTAAATTAAAGGTAACATTCTGCAATGTGAGATCAATAAAGTTCAATTGTTATATTATTTCACTGACTGGAAAAGGTCCCTGGCCTGTTTCCTTGAGGCAAGAAAACATCTCTCCATGGAAGTTTGAGAGTTCTTCCTGTTTATAGATGGGTTTTCTCTGGGTACTCTGGCTTTTCCTCACAGGCTAGAAAGCACCACAGCACTTCTTGATTATTGACTGAGGGAGGTAGCCACCTGTTAGAGTGCTAATTATAAAATTATTGTGTGGACATATGAAACATTGAAAGAAAGAGGATGTTACATTTCTATGCTGTGAATCAACCAGAAGGGTCATAAACTTTTATGACCTCCAGTCAGAATCACACGGTTGTGTGACTTCCATCCAGCCAGTTGGTCAATTCACACTATCTTGTTACCTGCATCCTCCCAGACAATCATTACTGGCTCTTCTGTTTTGGGCCCGCCTGTTTGATGTTGTAAACTGTTAATAAAAGGCTTTGCTATGAAGGGATCGGTGTGAGAAGGTGCTGGTTATCCTACCAGCTGTTGGGAGCTGGAGAAGTTCCACCTTTCTCCAGCAGAGTCCGCCGTGGATCCTTCTGAGTGAGCCTCCTTCACAGCTGCAGCCCATCAGATCATCAGAGGATCCACTATATAAGCTGTCTTCAGACCTTGCCTCAACGCAGCAGTGTTGATCCAGTTGGTCAGCGCCTAAGCCTAGACTCTCAGTGAATCTTTGTGACTTTGAATCCAGCCTGGATTCTAACCGTTGTCTCTGTCTTCCAGGAAACCAGTTTCTCCTCTGTGGAGCTCAGGAAGAGCTAACCTGCCGAGCCGACCCTCAGAGCCAAACCCGAAGAACCTCAGTGAACTTCCATGCAGCTCTGGACTAAGAGCTGGAAGACCCAAAGCCAAGGTCTGCCCAATACTAGAAGTGAGACGCTGAAGCAGCAAACGGACTCTGCTGATCAACTCCTCTCCAGATCCAACAGAGACCCTCCCAAAGCTAACCACAAGAACCCTCAAGGTACAATCAGTAACTATCAAGAAAGCAAGCTCCAACGTGCATCGCTAACTGAACTGTCTCTCACGCAGACTCCGGTGAACCAGTATCCAGGCCCGAACCAGAACCAGTATTATCAGTGTGCTTGTGACCAAATAAACTTGTTGAACTTTTATTCCTGTGTCCGTCAGTGGTGTTCTGCATAATTGGGTCACTCTTAGAGTACCCATCATGACAGAACACTGCGGCCAAACTCAAGGCCCAGCAGATCACCTCACCCGGCGCTTGGAGGAGCAGGATGCCCAAATTCAAGGACAAACCCAAACGCTCCGTGAGTTATATCGCTTGGTTGATACTCATCATCATATGCTTCAGAGCTACGCTAGCTACTTGAACAGCGCTAATGCAGCACCGGTTCCTCAACCATTTCCGGGTCCAGTTCCACCTCCGAGGTCACCAGCAGTGACGTCATCTGATTTCCGCCCAAGTCTTCCAGAGAGATTTTCTGGTAACATGAAAGATTGCAAAGGATTTTTATTTCAGTGTCGTTTGATTTTCCAGAGCTCTCCAGGCAGCTTTTCCACAGATTATAAAAAGATAACCTTCATCCTTTCTCAGCCAGCAGGAAGAGCCTTGGGGTGGGCTCAGGCAAGATTTGCCACTGACGATAGCCTTAATTGCTATTAGTCTGACTTCATCTCCGAATTTACCCAGGTTTTCAATCAAGAAACAGATCAAACTATTGACTCTCGAGCTCTTTTCAATTTAAAGCAGGGAAATTCTTCTGTGGCAGAATTTTCCATCAACTTCCGGGTTAAAGCGGCAGCTTCTGGATGGAACCAAAATGCTTTGAAGGGA